ATGACGACCACATGGACACCTCAGTAAACCACCACGCAGATAATAGATACCATCCAAAGGTCTGGAAAGTGGACAAGGAAAACAAGGGCCTGCCTCGCTGAGCTGAAAGGGGAACTTGTGGTCCGGGTTCCCACACGCATCTGGCCAACACGGAGGATGAAAATAGCAAGGCATGAGAAAAAAAGGAGTATCGTCCGAAAGCCGCAAGCGCCCAGAGGAAACCATGACCAGAAGACTAGTACAAGTTTACTGTTAAACCCCCATGTAGGCAGAGCAGAAAGGGAGCAACGCAAAACTCACAGGAAGACTTAACGCCAATAAGAAAAGCGACAACGTAGCAAGCAACCAAAGAAACTGCCGACGCATGAACGAATTTGCGATGTAGAGTCGAAGTCAATAGCCGCCTGTACTGCCTGGGCCGGGCAGCAACCGCTGAGGAGGATGCGGCTGCCATGGCCGATCAAGAATGAAGTGCTCAGCCAGAAGCAGGATTAGGAGCTTAGAGCATTGCTGGGGAGCTCTGTAGATTCACCGGCTTGTTGGCCGTAAGCTGGAAAATATCCTACTGAACTCTTTGCGGCAAATGATATGTATAAATGGGGTTCGAAGTGAAGCAAACTGCTTTTTTTGACGCTATCACGAATTGTTTTCCCGCACCAAAACAATATCAAGCCACAGGCGCACTGCAAGAATGGGAACCAGCCACACTAATGTCCATTTACAGCCTAGCGTCAGGCGATCGGAAGCGACAAGGGGCCGAGTTGGATTACGTAATTGTGCTGGCACCCGTTCCGCTTGAGCGACATCATTGCCGCTTGGGGAGAATCCAAGCAACAATCAAGCAGCAAAATCACAGCGGCAATACCGGCAATACATTCCTTCGATATCCGTTTCCATCATTCGTTCTCTTCTGGCCGATATCTTGCTGTGAAAGCTGTGTTCTGCGTCTCTTTTTTTCTCTTCAAGTTCTGCCTACTGGGTGCTTGAACAATCACGTCATGTCATTCGACCGCCTCTCATCATTAGAAGCGCAGCCAACCAGACCAGGCGACTCACAATACCAAGATGACCCCGATTTCCAACGATTGACAGAGTCGCTGTCTAATCGCTTGTTTACGTTGACATCTAATATCTCGCGCCTATCGAACCAGATCTCCTTGTTAGGCACTAAACGTGATACGGAGCGGGTCCGTGAACGGGTCCATGATCTGCTAGAAGAGACCCGGGAAGGTTTCCGGGAAGTCGGCGAAGGTATCAAGAAGATTCAACTATGGGATGATATCAATGTTAGTAGCAACTGTACCTTTATCGCAATACCTTTATGCGTTGAGAGTGGCGGGTTTCGCTGAATCTGTCGCTCAATATCCCTATACTAACAAATAAACACACATCACCCAAAGCCCTCCCAAAAATGGACGCAGCAAAAGCTTTCTTCCGAATTTCGATCCACCCTAGAAGAATTCCAAATCGCCCAGCGCCGTGCCCTCGAGAAGCAAAGAGCGTCCGCAACTGCTGCACGTACTGCCCTTCAAGAGGAAGAGGGTGTCATAGCAACCTCGCCGCAGGAAGGCCAGACCCTCCAACAGCTGCAGGAGCAGCAACCCCGCATCGCACCACAAGCTGAAGTTGACTTCCAAGAGACCCTTATTATAGAACGCGAAGCGGAGATTCGGAATATTGAACAGAGTGTTAGCGAACTAAATGAGCTTTTCCGAGATGTTGCGCATATAGTCCATGAGCAAGGGGGACAGTTGGATCTGATAAGTGAAAATGTGGAACGGACGAGAAATGATGCCAGGGTTGCGGATTCCGAGCTCAGAAGTGCCAGTAGATATCAGAAGAACGCGCGCAACAAGGCTTGTTGCCTGCTGTTGATTTTGGCTGTGGTCCTGGTCATTATCGTCCTTGCTGCTACGTTGGCTTGAACAACCAAACGAATTGCGTTGTTAGCTTCGAGCTTTTCTTTTTTTTTCTGTAATTGTTCTATTATTGTCTATTATTGTTCTATTGTCTTTTTTTTTTTTTTTTGTTTTTTTCCCTTGCTATTCCTTTCTTAACCATCTCATGCGCCTATGACTCTTTGATTGATTTGTTGATGCTCTTTTTATTCCGTTGTTTTGTTTTAGTGATTGGAGAGTTCGGATATTTCTTTTGGCGTTTCTTCAGGCGAGCTGACTAGCTTTCATTGTCAAAGCTACTATCGTACATACGCTATCTAATATTTTACAATTGTTATATACACATATCTTTAGAGAGTTAGAAGAACGACGTATCTACCACCCACCTGTATGCCCCTGTTAATAAAAATCTCAAGAGTAATACTGATATCACCCCCCCAATGCGACCAGACGAGTGGCCCTCATCCTCCACCCTTCCCAGGAATTTAGCTTTGGCCGTACGTCCAGATAAAAATTTAATTTCGCATTATTCGCAGCAGCCCCCAAACCTGCCCCCCCAGACCTCCCCTGGTAAAAATCAATTACATATTCAATTCTAGTCCCCCCGCACCTTTCCACAACCCAGTCATGTCTATCGAACGGCCGTTGATATCCTAACCAGCCATTAATCCTGGCTCTTGGGCTCAAAAATTGGCTCTCGACTCCCAATCCTCGGAACGAATACAGCTTAGGACCTCCACATTTTCGGCTACCAGGATCAGACGTCGGTGCAGAGGACTCCCATTCTAGGATTTCAGACCATGCACGCTCGTTCACGGCGTTGTGGATGGGGATGATGGAGGCTACGGAGGTGGCTAGATCGGTCGCAGAGGTGGCAGATGTGGGCGTATTTTTGCGAAGGAGGGCCTCGAAGAATTGGCGCTCTGATGGATAAATCCAGTTGCCCGTGCGGGTGTCATGACCGGTTTCGGCTTCGTCGTTTGAAGGGTTGATGTGCGAAGCTGTCGTTGAGGATGGGGATGCATATGGTGAGGGAGGCGGGCGGGCGGAAGTGGAAGATGTAGCAGCTGTAGGCGTATCTGGCACTGCTCGAGGGATGCTGCTTACTTCCCGCTCCTGAGATAATGGTCTCAGTTGTTTTCGACGGTTTTGTGGTGCCTGTAAGTTTCGGAGCTGGGTCGGTTTGGGCTCGTTGGACTAAGATTGGAGGTTTGATGTTGTGAAAGCCATGCAGCGCGAGTTTTGTGGTCTACAGGACATGTTGCCTGGGATCCACTGTCTTGGGCAAAACCAGTGGAAGTAGGGACTGCTGTAGGTTGGGATGGGTTATTTGCATTACTTGCATTGGCCCCCATGATCAAAAGTTGGATTAACCTCAGCAGTGTTCGACGGAAGAATACCCAAATAAAAGAAAGCCAGTTTACTTCTTTAAAAATCACGGCGAGCGATGGCATCCCATATGCCAGTATGTGCTTCGTTAGACTGTGAGAAAATCTCTTCGCAATGCGCAGTGTTTCAACGTCCCAGGGTTGAGCTTTGATGAGGGTTGATCTTGATTCAAAATTTATGGTTTGGAGTTCCTCCGCAGATCCTCTTATCTCTCATGTGTTATGTTCTTCTAGAACAC